CAGTTTCGCTGACTCTGGGCTTAAGCCAATTTTTGCCCAGGGACGGTCCCTACACAACCAAGAAGGATCTGGCCACAAACTGTGATGTCAAATCTTCCTATGGAAAACAGGTTACTGTAAATCCAAGTAACAAGTGGTAATTGTGCTGCCAAATGGGAAATAAGGTATTTGACAGTCAATCCTAAAGCCTCGTCCTGAATGCTAGCTGAAAGAACATGGTATAAAAAGATAATTTAGTTTAGCTATAAATAAGGCTTTATTCTGAATTGGCAGTTTCTTTTGGGTTGTTTGTATACAACTATTCTATTGTGCTTACTCAATGATAAACGTGATTATTTTCTTTCCATATTGATGGGAAGAAGTCTTCATTGGTAAGATTTTTACTTCTCCAATATCTATTAATTCCAACACCTATGGTCCTTTGGGGGTATAATTTTGCTCTTTGTTGCTTGTTATTGTTGTTAGGGACAGAAAAACAAGTGAGAGGTAATGGACATCAGAAAAACACAAAGGAGAAAGCAATTATAGAAAAATAATAAGGAAGGAATGGTTGCAGAAAAATAAAAAGAGGGAACAGTTATTTCAGTCTTAAAGAATGGGGTGACTGGGCTATGGAACACTGACCACCAGTCAGAGAATGGAAAAAACACCATAAACAGGTTATAGCACTTTCCCCACCATACCTATATTAGAAAGAATGACTGAAACATAACCTTTAAGTCACGTCCATACCTAGGAAGAATTCAGTCCCCAAAACAATGACGTATAGTAATGAATAATTATAACTAACCTTTACCTAAACTACTAACATATAAAAGGAAAAACATAAAAGTCGACAGTGTCGTCTCCACTGGTGGAGCAGACCCATTTCCCCTTAGGAAACACACTTTAGCTTTGCACCCTTAAACTTTCCCTACAATAAATTCTTCATGCATACTTGCCAAGTGTCTGTCATCTCTCTCCCTCAGGCAGCCAAGGCTTGTGATTCTTCATGGGGCAACACTTCAAAGTCCAGCCACGGTCAGGACCATGACAATTATGATCTCATCCTTGGCATTTTTCAAGATTATGTGAATCCTCAGAGGCTGGATTGAGATATTCTTCTGGATAAGATTTGTTTTTGCTTCAGCCAGATTCCAGGACACACTGCCCAACCACAACTACTTTATTCATTTTTCAGATAGAGTTTTCTCAGACTGTGCAGGTAGAGTACAATCAAACCCTAAAGCTGCATGAGGGTAGAACTGTGGTTATGATTTCTTTGGAGATACTTTTTCCTCCCAGCCAGTACTAAGGCCAAGACAGACAAGACTATCTGATTCTTCCCTTTGCCATTGAACAGACTATATTTTATCCCTTAGACTCAAGTACCAACATTATGGACAGGTCTTTGCCAACTTTGCCTTCAACTCTCCCACACTACTTGGTATGAGCCTTACTTCCATTTTGTTGAGCTGCTGTTGCAGCCTAAGGCTCTTTCATTGCAGCAAAAGTTCTTCAGATGGCCTTCGAATCAGCTTACGCTTATCACATTAGTTTTCAGTTCTTGTTCCCTACCTTAACCCCTGCCTCCAACCAGATTTCTCTTACTTTCTTATGGTCTCAGTTATATGTTTTGATTTGAGGGGTGAGGGATCTTACTAGACTTTTTTTCACCAGGAGGATTTTTAAAAATACAGTAGTACACCCCCTCATCCGCAAGTGATACATTCCAAGACCTTTAGCAGATGCCTAAACCGCAGACAGCACTGAACCCCACATATACAAGTCATGCACCGCATGATGACATTTCCGTCACAACGGACTGCAAATACAGTGGTGGTTTTTTTACTGTACCTTTTCTATGTTTAGACATGTTTAGATACACAAATACCATTGTGTTTCAACTGCCTACAGCATTCAGTACAGTAACATGCTATACAGGTTTACAGCCTAAAAACAACAGGATCTAGGATATAGCCTAGGTGTGTAATAGCCTAGCATCTAAGTTTGTGAAAGTATACACTATGATGTTCACAACAAAATAACCTAATGACACTGACACATTTCTCATGTCGTTAACGCATGGCTATGTTTTTTTTTACATAGTACATACATACCTAGGATATAGTTTAGTTTGTAAATTAGGCATGGTAAGAGATTAACAATAACTAATAATAGAACAATTATAATAATATATTATATAATAAAAGTTACGTGAATGTGGTTCCTCTTTCTCAAAATACTGTAACATTTTTGGACTGTGGTTGACTGCAGGCAAGTGAAACTGTGGAAAGAAAACCATGGATAAGGAGGGACTAAATGTATGTTATCCACTATGTTGCTGGAAGAAGAAATCTAAGGCATTTGCTTTATAATAGTTATACCATTTACCAGCTAAACTATACATCCTAAGGGATAAGATAGAGATAGGGGGAGTAGATACGATAGATATAGATATGAAACAAAGTAACTTGCAGAATGTTACTGCCCTCCACAACTAATTCTCTCAGATACCTTAAGTAAAATTTAAGTACTATGCTCACCATCAAATTGGTATTAACTGATCAACACATAAATGCACATATAAGAATAACATCTATTGGATGTTGGGCAGGGGGGAGGGGGGAGGAGGGAGGAGGGGACGGGTATTTGCATACACAAAGAATGCAATGCACACCACCTGAAGGATGGACATATTTGAAACTCGGACTTAGGGGGGGACGGTGGGGGAAAGGGCAACATATGTAACCTAAACATCTGTACCCCCATAATATGCTGAAATAAAAAAAAAAATTTAAGTACTATGAATTTCTTTAGAACGTGAATACAGACATATTATAACACAAAATTTATGGTATCTGTTTTACCATAGGAAGGTGCTAAGTGTTCAGTTTTGTTCTTTCTTCTCATCTTCCCACTACTCTCAATAACAAGACTCTTTATCCACAATTTTCTTAGTTAAAAAAATATTAAGAACTCCCTGTTTTCTATTCTCCTCCTCATGGGAATAAATTTAAAATGAGGTCAATCCATTCAGTTGGCCAACTGACTCATTGGTACATCGATACGATCCATATTATCAGCTATCCGAAACCCTATCATTCAACTCTTTTATGAACAAAGAAAGACTAGTAACTTTTTTTTTGAGACAGAGTCTTGCTCTGTCACCCTGGGTGGAGTGCAGTGGCATTATCACAGGTCACTGCAACCTCAAACTCCTGGGCTCGAGCGATCCTCCTGCCTCAGCCTCCCGAATAGCTGGGACTACAGGCGTGTGTCACCAAACCCAGCTAATTTTTTCTACTTTTTGTAGAAATGGGGGATAGGGTAGGAGTGGGGATGATTTTATTCTTGCTCAGGCTGGTCTCCAACTCCTGACCTCAAGTGATCCTCCTGCCTCGGCCTCCCAGAGTGCTAGGATTACAGGCGTGAACCACTGCTTCCGGCCAAGACTAGTAACTTCTTATGATAGAACAATCACCTATTTAAGGACCACATTTTCCTTGGAGAGATATGGGTGGCAATATCAGGACCTGGCTTCATAAGGACACACTGAATTTGCAAGGTGTTGGTAGGCTTGGTCTTCTAAAAACTTGGAGAGTTTGCCAAATAAGTCTATTTAATCAGTACACCTAAATGCTCCCTATCTCGGTCCCCTCCAAAAGGCACAAGAGGTCTTGAATAAGTTTGGTGACTTCTGCTCTGTTTTACAGGGAGACTGTGGCAGTAGTGTGTGAGATTAAAGGGGAACTGGAAGTCAGGACATGGTTCAAAAGCAGTAAGAATATTCCAGTCCAGATGGAGGGTCTAGAGCTGAAATCCATCGGTTTGGAAGGAATCTAAAGTAATCTAGTATCTATTCCTTGAATTGGGGGTGGGAGGAAGGATGCCACAATGTAAGCTCCATCAGAGAAAGAGTTCTCACTGATTTACTCCAGGTGCCTAGATAAGTGCCTGGCACACAGCATGCATTCAGTAAACACCTGACTGAATATAGCAGTGCTAGATAGAATACAAGAAAAGAGAAAAAATCAGAACATGGAGGCTTAATTTGAGGGGCAAAGGAGTCATGAAGAAAACTCCCCGTGACAGAAATGAGTATGTCAAGAAGGCGAGCTCATTTTTTAGGATAACTATGATAATGATAACTAAAAGCTGAGGTAATAATACTTGCATTTCTAATATGCCCTCAACTGCATTATGCTTACTTGAACATGATCTTTACCTAGGTTAGAAGGGATACAAATCCTCTAGCTTTCCAAGAATTCGATAATCATCTAAAAATGTTGCTTCCTAGACGCTGCCTGCGCACTCTCCATGTTCTTTCTGCACACAAACGCGAGGGGGCGAGGAGCATTAGCAAAAGAAAAGCCGGCAGGGAAGGGGCCAGAGCGATAATCCTGTCTCTGCTGCAATTGGAGCACCCTCCTCAGTCTAGGGCGTCCATCAAGCAGAGAGCTGGAAGATGACTTAATGTCCAACTCTTGTATCTCCTGGTTCTAGGCTGTCCCTCCGGGGTGCAGTTGGCGCCAGGCGTGTAATCATGACCGAGCCTGGGTAAAGGTCGCCAGCTGACTGGAGCGTAGCCAGGAGACTTCCAGGTAGGCCAAAGTTTCGGCGTCTCTTTCTGGAAGGCGGAACGCCCTACTCAAAGCTCATTGCATCACCGCACCCAAGACCTGTTACCATAGCAGGATCACCCCTCAATACACCACGCGATTCCGCTCCACAGTTTCCGCCCGCACACGCACGCAAGCGCACAGAAGCCGGCGGGTGATGTCAGCGCTTCCCGGCACCACCTCGGCGATGTGAGCGCAGGGCCTGTCGTAAAAGCCGGGCAAGAGAGGCCTGGAGAGGAAGGGCACCCACGCGGTACACCGTACCCTGCTAGTCGGCGTTCGCGCGCAGGCTCCTGGCGCAGAACCTGGAGGCTGGAGCCAATGAGACGCCGTGACGTCACTGCGTATCAGCCGGCTCGGCCGCTCGTCTGGCCGCGGGAGGGCGGAGCGAGTTCGGTTGCACCAACACCGGTACATAGGCGCAGCCCGGCGTGTCCTTGGACTTAGAGAGCGGGACGTCCGGCTTCACACTGGGAATCCTCGTGCCGTCAGCAACCAAAGAGAGGTGAGCGCGGGGCGCGGAAACCGTAGCGGGTGTGAGGCCGAGGTGTGGGGAGCGCGGAAACGACCGAGGCCCTCCCCAGGAACCTGTCCCAGGGAAGCCCGCGTGGGGCGGGCAGGGCCGGGAGTGAGAACCCTGGACTAAGGCCAGCCAGAACCCGGGGGGTAACGGTTTGAGATGGGGCAGAACCCTAACTAGGTGTGGACTAGATCGGGAACTCGAGGCGGCTTGGATGCGGATCCGAGGAAGACGCGGGCCTCCACTTGTCGGTGCTGGGAGGCTGTGGAAACGGTAGACAAGACTTCCACCCGGAGGGCCAGAGCGCAGCGCTTCACGGCCTCCTTCAAGAGCAAAAGCTGCTGCTTCTCTAATAAGGGGTCATTTCTTTTCCTGGCTGCCTGTTGTTTCTTCTGTCAACCGCTCAAGCATCCCGGAAAGGTGGATTTTCATCAGTCACCTTGAAAGCGACCTGGATGGGTGACCGACCTCGTGGTCGTCCCCGGGGATCTCAGAGGTGTGGGAAGAGGGGATGTCCATGGGAGACCTCGCAGCCCGCTCCTGTGCTCTCATCTGCAGCGAGGCAAGTTAGAATGACAAGCTACACCTGTGACCTGAGCAGGTGGAAACAGCCAGGACATTTAAACATTTTTAAAATCTATGTGCTTTATATTATCGGGGAGAGTGGCTTTAAGTTGTAGTACGAATAAATGACCAGACCTTCTTAAAAGTTGGAATTTTGGTAGTTTTGGTTTAATGTAATCACAGTTCAGCTTAATATTGTTGAGTCTGTGACCTTGACCTCACTTTCGAAACTGTGGTTTGAACTAGGTTCCTACTTTGCTTGCTTGGGCTTTAACCTTCTTTTACTTACACGTGCAAGGATACGTTTTTACGGAGGTTCTCCTAAATAGTGTTTTTCTTATTAGAGAATATTGTGAGTGTACTAAGTGAAACAAGATTCATCCTGGTGCTTAATGTCATAGATTAGCTATGGATTAGTAATTAAATAAGTAAAGCGATCATTGGTTTCCACTGTATTTGTTACTTGAGGAAAAAAATTACTAAGTTGGGTCTTTTCATTTTTAGAATTAACTATGGGTGATGTTGAGAAAGGCAAGAAGATTTTTGTTCAGAAGTGTGCCCAGTGCCACACTGTGGAAAAGGGAGGCAAGCACAAGACTGGGCCAAATCTCCATGGTCTCTTTGGGCGGAAGACAGGTCAGGCTGCTGGATTCTCTTACACAGACGCCAATAAGAACAAAGGTAAGAGGAAGACGGCTGTTAAATAACACAGCCCAAAAATGCATGAATGTAACCTGTGGCAAACTCTTTTATCAGGAGTGTGAAATACTTAATGCATCCCTTCTTGTTTAGGCATCACCTGGGGAGAGGATACACTGATGGAGTATTTGGAGAATCCCAAGAAGTACATCCCTGGAACAAAAATGATCTTCGCTGGCATTAAGAAGAAGGGAGAAAGGGCAGACTTGATAGCTTATCTCAAAAAAGCCACTAATGAGTAATAATTGGCCACTGTCTTATTTATTACAAACCGGAAATATCATAACTTTTTTTATGTGTACCATAATTTAATTGGTCTCATACACCAGAATTCAGATCATGAAAGAGTGACAGAATATTTTTGTTGGACAGTCCTGATTTAACTAAGACTGGCTTGTGGTTAATTTGGTTTTTTGAATTTTGATAGTAATTCCGATACAGTAAATGCTATCACTGTTTTCCCCTTCTGAAGATATGATTGGATTAATTAGTAGTGTTCAGCTTTTCACAAGGATGGTAAATTGCCATTTTAAAACCTGTTGAGGATTGGTTTTATATTTAGATTTATATAACTGGTTATGTGAATATATTTAAATACTAGGGAAATCCCTTCACTTGGAACCAAGCAAGACTCACTGGTGTTTTAACCTGTTAAAGATGAGAGCTGGAGATAAGGTAGCAATGTTTACTTTATATATTTTTGGTCTTCACTATGCCAATCTAATTTCCCTGTGTCTACTAAAATGCTGCCTTTTATTTATTGAAAGGCATTTTAGTGTGGTTTATGTGTAATATCAAATAAAGAATATTTAACACTTCTCACATTTTATAGACAATCTATAAGGTTAAATGCTTTTAAAAGTCAATGTGACAAGAAATAGCAAATTAAACTTTTGAATTCTTTACTACCTAAGTCAGACTAAGTTATAATTTAGGATTGTCTTTAAACAGCTCTTCAGAAACACATGAAACTGTAGAACTTCTGTATATGTGTGATTGGTAATGGTGCTTTTATCAACTCATTAGAAGGATTAAAGTAGACGAGATAGACACAAATTTAAAAATTATGTGTGATCATAACTTAATTAAAAACAAAAATCACAGATCATGATTTTTTGACTGCTTGATTTAATGACTGATGACAAAATTTTAATGGTTAAAAAGTACAGTAGTCCTAACTACCAATGTATCAATGTTACCAGTAATGGTACTAGATTGTGTTTTCTTAGTCCTCTAGGACAGCTTGAACACTAGAACAACACTTGACTAATTCACACTTTAGGTTCTTTGGCCAGAATGAGAATTGCAATATTTATGCCAGACACAGATGAAAGAATGCTTCTGGTCATAGCTTTGTGATGTGTAACAGTGTATAGTTACATAGTAAATTATTTTGTGCATAGTCCATACCATACACATTTAGAGTAGTCCTTGGAAATTTTATGGAGATGGTGAGCCTGAACTAAGCCATAAAGAATGGCAAGGGAAATAAATCTAGTCTTGTGGAAGAGAGATCCATGTCTTTGTGGGACAGTGAGGAGACTGGGAAGAGGGAACAGGGCCTTATCCATGGTTTCGAGGGTAAAAAGAATGATTAAACAGGCTTTTAAGGTCTGGCAAAGTGATTTGTAATATGGAGGTCTTATTTTCATTCATAGAAGAAAAGTCTAGAAACACATGCAGAAACAACTTTGGAGAGCCTGCTGTAACTCAGATTTGAAGTCCTTACCTGAGTTATAGTGGGGGATTAAATAATACATTCTGGAAATCCTTCAAAGATTTCAGCCTTTGTAACAGAGGATGTGTTGACTGCATTAAGTTAGTGGTATTCAGAGATAGCGTAGGGACAATTCTGACTAGTGTCTGCAAAGATCTGAAAACCAGGGAGTTGATTTTCATTTCTTTGCATCCTGGGAATGATACAGAATATAAGCAGTATATCGAAATGGATACAGAAATTAGGCTTAATCTTTGTAGTGACTGGACCATTCATCTTGGTTAATTTACAAACTCAGAAATTCCATTTTATCATTTAACCCAGAAGTGATGAAGCTCTGGTGACTTAGTCATCATCAAGCTGAGAGATGCTGGTTAATTCACATACACGATAAATCTTTCTTGGGAGCTTGGATTGATATATACAGAGCATGCCCATTAATAATAACTTAGGTTCAATTTTGGTTTTTTTTTTTTTTTTGCAAGTTCAAGGTTTTCTCATTTCTGTGCCTCCTACATCAACTAAGGCCAAGGCCTTTGTTGGCACGAATGAATACGTGTCTTGTTCTAGGCCAGGTATGCTCAAATAAATACCTGTGGGGATTTATAATGTAAATGATCTATAAGTCAAAAGAAGGGACATTCCTAGCAGTAAGGAATACATACTGTTAGAAATGGAAATTGGGACAAAAGCTAACACTTGTAATCCACATGTCTTTGTTCCAAGTGCTTCACTGTAAGTGGTTAGGATAGTGGTATCAAAGTGAGAGCCAGATGTATTTAAGGGGTTTATATAAGTTCTTCCAAGTGCCACCTACACTCTGAATTTTGTCTAGAATAGCACTGTTCAATACCACTTTGTACGATGGATATCTTCTAGACCTATGCTGTCTAATAGGATGGCCACTAACCACATGTGGCTGTTAAGCCCTTGAAGTATGGCTAGTGTTACTGTAGAACTGAATTCATCTTTAAATTTACATAGCCACAAATGGCTAGTGAATACTATATTGACAGAGGGATCTAGAACCAGTAGTTTATAACCGAAGTGCTTCCCCTGGACTCTATTTTTTTAATCTAGGATTCTTACAAGTACACTATAATGCCCTTCAGAACACTGATTCCAATTCCTATTTCTAAACCTGATGTGCTCTATTATATGTTTTGCCTATTCTAATCATAAGTTGACAGTTTATTTTGGATAGGTAGCATTCAGGTAGTAGCCAGGGATGTACCTTTTTGTCATCCTTTTCCTGTACTTTTCTCTAATTTCTTCATAGATATTATATTATACATTTTCACTTTAACCACTGAAGATTGTTATTAATTATAAAAGGTATGCCGGAATCCACATGGCTGTCTACAAAGAGGCCTTACCGGGAACTAGCCTTCCACAGTTGACTAGTCTCAGGCTGCTTCATGGTCCATTTCAGGCAAAAATAAATTACAATCAATTTTCTTAAAATGGAGAATATTCATTTCTAGTGATGGGCTTTTTGGGCTCTCCTTCATCTTATCAGAATATCTTGAAAGCCAACAAAGATGTTGCTGAGCCTGGAATATTGGCAAGGCTTGTACCTGACGGTGTACAAACACACCTCTGCAGTGACCATGAAGTTTGTCTCCCAGGTATATCTCTTCTAAGCTGTGCTGGGGTACATACTGAGCTCCTCCTTTGGCTGCATTTTTTATGCCTCAGACTGACCATTGTCTTGGTGTTCACATCCTTAGTGTATAATACAAAATATTACATTTTGTATTTTGTATTTACATTTTGTATTACATTTTATTCAGTAACATTTGGATTCCAGGTTATCTTAGTTGGAGTTTGGGGTATTTGAAATTGGTCTTGTTTCACTCAGAAAGCTAAGTAGATTTCCTCTGTTTATTTTTCAAAGAGTAAATGTCCAGGTTGTTAGGAGAAACTTCGCTGGCAGTCTCTTCTGTGTATCAACAACAAAATACAGCTTTCCATACGTGGAAATACACAGTGAGGAGAGGACCAGTGTATGGTGATTGATACACTACTCACAATTTTTAGAATAGGCCTGGGAAAAATGGCAAGAGACGATTGATTCAATTGCTAGAACTCGGACAAAATATTTTGATCACATAAGTCAAGTCTCAGGATGTTGGAGATGGAAGAGATCTTAGAGATTTCTTACAACCTAACTGCCATTATACAGGTGAGAAATGAAGTTAACCTGAGCTAGGCTTATCTAGCTGATGAGCAGCATAGCTGAAACCAGAACCAAGATACCTGCCTCCAATTTGGTCTTTGTCAAAACCCCCTAATCTCAGACATATTCATGAATTTCTTCCTTTTATTTTTTCTTCTATTCATTAGAAATGCAGCTATGTTTCATATTGGGGCCATATTTAATATGTCTATATAAACATCTAAACATGTTTAACATTTTAAATTTATTTAAACATTTAAATGTATTTATAGCTTGAACAGTGTAGTTTGAGAAAGGACCATTGGACTAGTGTATTATCTCTGGTGTAATGCAGAGAATGCTGGGCCTGGGGTTAGAAAAAATTGTGTTTAGAGTAGTGTGTGTCCATAAACAACAGCCTGTGGGCCCAATCTGACCAGGGATGTGTTTTTGCAAATAAAACTTTGTTGGATCACAGTCATTTTCATTTATGTATTGTCTAGGGCTGCTTTTGTGCTACAGCATGAGAGTTGAGTGTAGTTGCAACAGAGACTATGGTCTGCAAAGCCTGAAATATTTACTGTCTGGCACTTTAAGGAAAAAGTTTCTCATCCCCTGGTTTAGAGCTTTGCTTTGCCAATCTGATTAACACAACCTCATTTTTGCCATTTGGAGAATAGGAATAATCTCTACTTCAAAAGATTAATTGGATGACATGTGAAAGCCCATAACTGTGGTAAGCATGGAAAGATTTGTTCACTTTATATCCATGTGAAATTCCTTGAAAGTCCCATGGTGAAAAATTACTACTTCCAAGGTTAGCGATAACCTATTTATCAAGTCTAGTATTATTTTCTATTGACCCTGATAATCTGTATGACATCTGACACACTTGATTGCTCTTATTTTCGCACTTCCTTTGGTTTAAGTTAGTTTCACATTCACATGGAATAAAACATGTAGGCATCATAAAAATCTTTATGTATATGTAGCTGTAGTAATCTGGTGATAACCCAAATCCATGCTTCAGCATGACATTTTACCTGAAGTCTAGTCCCATAACTAAAATTGCTTTGTAGTTATAAGAAGCATTCACATCTCAATTCATCCTCACCACCTCATAAGGTATTTAGGACAGATATTGTCCCTATTTTATAGATAAGTAAACAGGCTCAGAGAGGGGGTTACTGCCAGAGGTCACACAGGTGGGTTACCTTGTTAGCAGTACCTCATGTACTGACAGCTGCCTTTCCACAGTGCCTTCTAAAACTCCGGGTAAACTGGGTCATCTCTATCAGCCTCTTTACAGAACACTCACACACGCCCTTTGGTTAATAGAAATTGGGCTTTCTCCAGGCCTGTGCACTTCTCAGCCCTCACAAGTAGAGCCTGCTCC